AGTTGGAAATAAGACTCTATCGCTCTCAATAGAGTTAGAGTTGAAAACATGACTCTCAATGGCGTTAGAATCGAAATTAGACTCTATCAGTGTAGTAGTAGAGACGGGGACAACATGAAAATAACATCATGACCGTGAATGGAAGCATATACATCAATAAAATATAAAAATATATATGGGATATAACGGGTCATAGATGTACCTGGAGATAATTTGATTCTGATACCATATTAGAATATAAAATTGAAATTTTCTATTTCAATTATAAAAATGCGTACTTATTTATAGTGATATACAAATCGTCTAAATAAGGCAATAATCCTACAAATATCTTAAATAAAACAACTATCATAAATATAATATATTGCTTCTAAATATATTTTAACACGGTTGACATACCCCTTACAATTGCTGTAGTTTTAACATGAACAGGATACAGAGTAAACCCCAATATGAGAATGTAGCCGAAAAGGCTAAACAGGGAAATAGGAAATCAAAATTTGTAATCGGTGTGGCATTTAAGGTCATTGGACCAATACCTGTAGAACAACCAAATACCTAGTTGATCTTTATCAAGCCTCACTGCAGAAAAAATGGGAAGAAAGTCGAGACTAATCACGTTGATAATGATGACGACCCCGATGATGATCTTCTAGATTACAACGCATCTTAATATAGCAGATTTGGTCATAGATCCAGCAAACCCCCAATGACAGACATATTATGTCATTTTACATTATGTTATTTTATATTATGCAATCTTTAAATTATCGCATATATCTTTTTGCATTGCATTTTGTAATATTTATATTTGCTTTTATTAATGTTGTATTTATTTATATTTGAAGGTTAAATAGATTCCAATCAAAATGATATTAATATGTGTTTCATTGACAGTGCAACGACACATACTATATTGAAACACGAAAAATATTTCTTCTAGTTTTGAAAAAGAAAATAATGAATGTCAATACAATAAGTGACAGTGAGAAATTAATTGAAGGCTCTGGAAAAGCCATTATATTTCTCTCTACGGGGACGAAAATTGTGATACAGTATGCGTTGTTGGCCACTAAAAATGGAAAATACTGAGCTTTTATGACATTCGGAAAAATAGTTATCACATTGAGACTATGAGTGATACCAATGGTAAATTTTTGTCAATCACCAATATTATTGATAAAAAGAAATGCATCATTGAGAGATTACTCCCACTCTATACTGGTTTATATTATACCAGTTAGGTGTTGTTAAAACACACCTCATGTAGATAAAAAGATTACTGATTTTCAAATATGACATGATTGCCTTGGCCATCTTGGCAGTATAATAATGAAACGAATAATTGAAAATTTGCATGGCCATTCATTAAAAGGTCAAAAAGTGTTAAACTCAAATGAGTAACATGTGTTGTCTGCACTCGGGAAAAATTAATAACCAGACCATCGCCAACTAAAGTAGGTATTTAATCACCTATATTTTTTGAAAGAATACACAGGGATATATTTGGACCAATCGACCCACCGTGTGGGTCATTTAAATATTTTATGGTGCTTATTGATGCTTCTACCAGATGGTCTAATATCTGATTATTATCCAATCGCAATATGACATTTCCGAGATTGTTTGCCCAAATTATTAAATTACAGACACAATTCCCTGATAATCCAATTAAGATTATACGTCTGGATAATGATGGTGAATATTCATCGAATGCATTTAATGATTACTGCATGTCGATTGAAATTCATGTAGAGCACGCAGTTGCTTATGTTCATACACAAGTTGGTCTGGCGGAATCACTTATTAAAATGTTGCAATTGAGTTCTAGACTATACTAATGAGGTCTATGTTGCCCGTTTCAACTTGGGGGCATGCAATCATAGCTATTCCCCTATGCAATTAGTATTTGGTCACAAACCAAATATATCTCATCTATGTATGTTGGAGTGTGTTGTTTATGTTCTTATTCAACCTCCCAAAACGTACAAAAATTGTCCTCAACGTAGATTGGATATTTATGTCGGATATGAATCACCGTCAATTATAAAATATCTCGAACTTATGACGGATTATTTATTCACTGCAAGATTTGCAGATTTTCATTTTGACGAATCATATTTTTCGACATTAGGGGAAGACAAAAATGAACCGAAAAGGGATATTAATTGGAAAATTCCATTGAATTTTAATGATCCTCGTACAAAATAATGTGAACTAGAAGTTCAACGCGTTATACACTTACAAAATATTGCAGTTTATACAAATTGTTCAAACATCATATTAAACTAGAGGTCTCTGGACCAATTGTTCAAACATCATATGGTATAAAACCAATTGGATACAAATGGGTGTTTATACGAAAAAGAAATGAGCATAATGAAATTGTGAGATATAAAACCCGTCTTGTAGCTATGAGATTCTTATAAAGACCTGGAGTAGATTTTGATGAGACATACTCTCTAGTTGTTGATGAAATAACATTTAGATACCTTGTAAGCGTAACAGTGCGAAAAAAACTCGACATACGTCTTTTAGACGTAGTTACTGCATATCTTTATGGCTCATTAGATACTGATATTTATATAAAAGTTCCTGAAGGATTCAATATGTCTGAAGCATACAAATTAAACCCAAATGAATTATATTCCATCAAATTGAAAAAGTCAATGTATGGACTTAAACAATTAGAGCGAATGTGGTATAACCGTCTCAGTGAACGTTTAATAAAAAAATTTTATACTAATGATCCAATATGCCCATGCGTGTTTATAAAGACAAATAGATCAAATTTTGTCATTATTGCAATATATGTTAATGATCTCAATTTAATTGGAACCCCTATAGATATTCAAATTGCAGTTGAATATCTAAAGAAAGAATTTGAGATCAAAGATGTTGGAACGACAAAATATTGTTTGGGATTACAAGTGAATTATGTTAATAATGGAATATTTATCCATCAATCTACATATACTCAAAAGGTATTAAAGGAAGTCCCGTAAGGAATAGCCTGGTGATGTGGGGAGTGAACTTGTGACCCTGAGGTCATGAGTTCAAACACATTTTTTGTTATCTTCAGGGGACTCATGATCTCGGTCTATTTTATTCGAGTGAATCTCGAAATGAATTAATTGGTTATGTTGAGGCTGTTTATCTTTATGACTATTTATTTACATCTAATAAAACAACACTCTCGTGAAGATTTGCTAAACAGACGATAACAATTACTTCTTCAAACCATGCTGAGGTATTACCTCCTACAATATTATTCGAAGATAATGCAGTTTGTATAACTCAATTAAAGGGACTATATTAAAGGCGATCGGACAAGGCACATACCCCTGAAATTGTTTTTAACTCATGATCTTAAGAAGAGTGGTAAAATTAATGTACAACAAATCTGATTGTCTAAAAATTTTGCAGATTATTTACGAAGGTACTAGCGAATGCAACATTCAACAAATTGGTACAATAACTTGGAATGTGTTGGCTGAAAAATATCAAATAAAGTCCAAAACAGGGTGAGCGTATTAATACATTAAACATTGTATTCTTTTTTATTCACTAGAATTTTTTTCAATGGATTTTTTATTAGTAAAGTTTTAACGAAGCATATTCTTTGTATAAAAATATACAAAGAGAGTGTTGTACACTACGTATATATGGTATAAGTAATATTACGTGGTCTTTATTGTATATTTCATTAGCCTATAAATGAGCATATCTTCATTCAATTAATATAAGATACAATCAATTCATTAATCTCTCACCCTCCCATCCGGTTCTCTATCTCTACTATACTTTCTTTTTCTATTATATTATAATACATTAATATATAAATATTACACTAATACATACATATAATATATATATATATCTATACTTACCTATATATACTATATTTATTATATAACATTAAACTTATATTGAAGTTGCTATGCACAACAACTTAAGAGATATTTTATCCTCTCCAATTTATAATTAAACTGTTGGAACACGCAAGAACACAAAGTCATACGCTGACACTACATGGTATTCATGTGGATGCATAATATCCATTCTTCCATCACTTTCCTATCTATAAATACCTGTATTGATATAAAATAGATGAATTTAAAAAATCTCTCGCATTACTCTCACTCTCTCTTTATCCTTTCATTTATTAGTATTATATAATATATATCTATATACCTATAATATATATAACGCACACACAATACACTTATATATATTATTACTTGCACACGCCACACCTATATACCTTTATATACTATATATGTATATACAATATTATATACAATATATAAAATAGTGGTTAGCGGTAGAAATAATCAATATTTTTATTGGCTAATCCTATACTAATATTACAACATAAACCTTATTTTATATTTATTTTATTTATTTATAAATATATATTATATTTATTTATTTATTTATGTATGATATACATATTAAATATATATATTTTTAAATAATCAATATTTTTAAATAATCAATATTTTTAATCAATATTACAACATGTTATCAGCATGATTGTGCATTTTAATTTTTGCAAGGTAATATTTTATATTTTATCTGTTTATTATGTCTAACCTTGCCAACCAAAAATTTCGCACTCTTCTCGTTTCTAGCCAAAATTATATGTAATGACTCGCGATGTTAAAATACATCTAGCTTCAATGGGCTTGGAAAATACCGTTGCTCAGGATAAAAATTCCCCGAGTCAAGATCGTAAAAATACCATGATTTTTTTGTGTCATCACATCAATGAGGCATTGATAATGCAGTATGTGAAGTTGGAATTTCCACTTGAATTGTGGGAGAGATTGAAAGAAAGATACGATCACTTAGGGCTGACTTTGATGCCAAGGGCACGAAGCGAATGGTAAGGCTTACGGCTTCTGGACTTTAAAATAGTCCAAGAATACAATTCTACTATGTTTAAAATAACATCACAGCTGCGCCACTGTGGCGAAAATATATCTGAATCTGATATGATGGAGAAAATTTTATCCACTTTTCATGCCTCTAACATAGTTTTGCAGCAGCAGTATCGCGAAATAGGCTTCCAAAAATATTATGAGCTGATCACCTGTCTTTTGCTGGCCGAACAAAACAATGAATTGCTGTTGAAAAATCACGAATCTCGGCCGACAGTGCAAATCCATTTCCAGAGGCAAATGCAATACAACCGGCAAATCCGGTGCGTGGTCGTGGGCAGGTCAGGAATCAATGAATTGATCGCGATCGAAATCAGAATCTTGGGCGGGGCCCGACAAACGCATATGGTCATAATAATGATCAAAACAGGCCCCGATATGTGCCAAATCGGCATTATAATGACAGAAGGCCGTACAGACCTCAACAAAGGTTCAACACGGGGAGAAACATAAACAATGACGAGGAATGCACCCGTTGTGGAATCAAAGACCATTGGGTCCACGTTTGTCGCACAGCCAATCACTTTGCTGAACTGTATCGGGCCTTAAAAGAAAGGCAGGGAAGAATTGTTGTCGAAACAAACCACGCTTCCCACGATGACACATTCGATGATGTGATGAATGAAAATATCACGCACCTGGATGCTGATGATCTGCTTGACATAGCTGATGAAGTTAAATGATAAAATATTGTTGTATCTCTTTTGTTATTTTACTGTTTTTTGCCCCCCTTTTTTTGTATTACCCCCTATAATATAAGTCTATTTTGATTATGTTACTAATACATGTCTTTTATTATTTTTACCTTATTCCAAAGATATAGATGTCAAAAATTTTGGAGCCGATGACAATATATGTCTTATCGACAGTGCTACAACTCACAACATTCTGAAAAACAAATGTTATTTCTCTCACCTAAATATGAGAAAGACCACTATTGTTAATATCAGTGGTGCATCAAAATTGATTGAAGGCTCAGGAAAAACTATTGTATTTCTCCCTAAAGGGACAAAAATAAAAATTGAAAATACCCTGTTCTCGAGCAAAGCTCGAAGGAATTTACTGAGCTTCAGTGATATTTGGAAAAATGAGTATCACATTGAAACATTAATTGAGGCAGAAAATGAGTATCTCCTGATAACTCATTGTGAATGACAAAAGAATTGTGAAAGAAAAATTGTCATCATTTTCTTCCGGCTTGTATTATTCAAAAGTCAGTGCAATTGAAACATATCACCTAGTAGACCAAATGGCAACTAGCGAATTTAAAACGTGGCACGATCGACTTGGGCATCCTGGCAATGTAATGTTGAGGCGAATTGTTGAAAATTCAAATGACCACTCATTGAAAAAGAAAATATTTTGAGCCCGAATGAGTTTGCTTATGCTGCCTGTTCCCAAGGGAAGTTAATAATTAGGCCATCTCCAACAAAGGTTGGATTTGAATCCCCAGCTTTTCTGGAAAGAATTCAAGGTGATGTTTGTGGACCAATAGATCCACCGTGTGGATCCTTTAATTACTTTATGGTACTAATCGACGCGTCAACACGATGGTCACACGTATGCTTGTTATCTACTCGCAATCTAGTTTTCGCTAGACTACTTGCACACATAATTAAATTGCGAGCACAATTTCCAGATCATCCGATAAATAAAATATGTTTAGATAATGTTGGAGAGTACTCATAACATACATTTGATGATTACTGCATGTCAATTGAGATTACTGTGAAACATCATGTTCGCCATGTACATATGCAAAATGGCCTGGCTGAATTTCTTATATTGCAATTAATTGCTAGACCATTGTTAATGAGGTCTAAACTTCCCGTATCAGTTTGGGGACATGCTATATTGCATGCTGCAGCCCTCGTTAAAATAAGGCTGACAAGTTATCACTGTTATTCCCCTACTCAATTGGTATCTGGAAAAGTACCAAATATATCTCACTTGCGAATTTTTGGGTGTGCTGTTTATGTGTCAATTGCGCCACCTCAACGTACGAAAATGAGACCTCAAAGAAGATTGGGTATATATGTCGGGTATGAATCACCCTCGATTGCAAAATATCTTGAACCAACAACGGGTGATTTATTTACTGCAAGGTTTGCAGACTGTCATTTTGATGAATCTCATTTTCCGACATTAAGGGGAGATATTAATCAACTGAAAAAAGAAATTTCGTGGAAAATACCACTTGAATTTGATCATCGTACGAAACATAGTGAACTTGAAGTTCAAAGAATTGTGCATTTGCAGAAAATTCCAAATCAATTGCCTGATACTTTTAATGATGCTGCCTGAGTAACGAAATCATATATTGTAGTAGCAAATGCACCAGCTAAAATAAATATCCCATAAGGGAAGGTGTCGAGTGCTAATGAGCATACTGCACGCGTAAAACGTGGCAGACCGTTAGGTTTCAAGGATAAGAATCCACAAAAGAAGAAAATTGTAAATATTGGTGAAGAGATCAACAATGATCAGATACCTGACCACAACCCCTGAAGAGGTTGATACTAAAAATTCTGATGAAAGTGATGGTGAAGTTATTGAAACTTCTGTTAACTATACCAGAAGTGGAAAATATTGGAACAAAAAGAAAACAAATGTTAATAATGCATTTGCATATTCTATAGTACTCGATATAATGAAAGATGACGAGGATTATGAACCTAAATCAGTTGATGAATGTCGGAAAAGAAATGATTGAGGAAAAAAAATAATAATTAAAAAAATAATAAACGTTAACTGTCACTTCTTCAAATCATGCTGAAATATTGACAATACATGAACCTAGTCGAAAATGTGTTGGTTGAAATCAATAACTCAACATATTATGAAAAATTGCGGGTTAATACCCGACGATAAAGTTCCTTCAACTACATTGTATGAAGATAATACGGCTTGTATAATCCAATTGAAATGGGGTTACATTAAAAGAGATAGAACAAAACATATTTCACCAAAATTCTTTTTCACTCATAATCTACAACAAAATGGTGAAATTAATGTGAAGCAAATTCGATCAGATAATAATTTGGCGGATATATTAACCAATTGCATTACTGACTGCAACTTTTGAAAAATTGGTGAAGTAAATTGGAATGTATCGGTTAAGGGATCTCAAATAATGCTCAGATTAGGAGAAGCGAATTGATATAAGAATGTTGTACTCTTTTTCCTTTACTAGGATTTTTCGTCCCACAGGATTTTTTCCTAGTAAGGTTTTAACGAGACACATTCTTCGTATAAATGCATCCAATGAGAAGTGTTGGAACACACAAGAACACAAAGTCATACGCAGACACTACGTGGTATTGTGGATGCATAATATCCATTCTTTCATCACTTTCCTATCTATGAATACCTGTATTGATATCAAATAGATGAATATAAAAAATGTCTCCTATTACTCTCACTCCTTCTTTATCCTTTCATTTATTAGTATTATATAATATATATCTATATACCTATAATATATATAGCGCACATACAATACACTTATATATATATATTATTACTTACACAAGCCACACCTATATATCTTTATATATTATATATGCATATACAATATATAAAATAGTGATTAGGTATGAAATAATCAATATTTTTATTAGCTAATCCTATACTAATATTACAACATAAATGTAATACCCCAATTTTGGAGTGTATAAAATAATATTATTATAGCAAATAAATATTTTTATAATATTTTGGAATCAAGAAATTAATACTCTGGAATAAATTTTATTCCTATTTTATATATTGATTATGATTGAAAAGACTGTTAAACGGATAAATATCGATAAATATAAATATAATATATAATATATATATAAATATAATAATATAATAATAATAAAGATAATGATGATGAAGATAATATTTATAATATTAATAATAATAATAACGTTAATAATAATAATAATATAATATATATAATAATATTCACAAACTCAAACCTTACTTGCGAAGAACGATCAAAGCAGAAGAATGCGAAGGAGAAAGAAGAGAAAGAAGAAAAGAAGAAAGAAAAAGATTTAGCCGTCCGATTCCAATTCCGACTTGGGTATGGTATTCCTTGCTATTCGTAGAGTCCGATTATAAATTTTAATACGAATTTTGATATTGGAGTATTAAATTAGAAATTCTTCAAAAATTCAAAATTGGCTATTTAGCTATTTAATCGATGAATTTCTTTAGCTAATAGCCTATTCGTAGCCGACATTATATTTTGAGAATTTCGTACCAATCCAAGTCGAATAAAAAACGGCAGTATATCGCACCTGCCTGCTTGTTCATACCTTTGCGTATTTTTATTTAATAATCGGGCAATATAAATATTATGAGGTAGAAGGATTTTATAGCTAGAATATCATATTCTACTAAATATAAAAGTTTGGAGCCCGACGAGTTAATTATAGAAATTAGCTTTTGAATAAGCAGGTAGCTCCTGAGAATAAGCATAAAGCTCATCTGATTTGAGTAAATAATGGGACAGGTGTACGTTGGAGGAGATTTGGGTGAAGTTATAAAATCCAGAAAGTATCGGTAGGAGGTAAGCAGTAGGGAATTAAATCTAATTTTAAGAAATTAGGTATGCATGTTGCATGCGATTCTGATTAATATGTTAGTGTGATATTATGTGAATCATTTTGTCAGTGCATGTATATATTTATATATATGTGTGTGTATGCATGTGGGAGACTTCACGGTTTATAATATTTGATATACGTATTTGATCGTGTTGGTGAATTTATAAAAAGGAGGATAGGTGGGCCGTCTCACCAGCCCTTTTCATTAAATTCACTTATTGACATGCTGCACACATTGCACGATTTATCGGATATGTTTTATGGATCTATCGTTTAGTCGCCGTGTGCGGTAGTGCTAGGCGAGGGCATCATCTGGGGTTAGGATATTCGACCCCGATGTACCGTAACACTTTGGCGATAGTGGACGATAGTAGTCGGGCAACTGGGTGACTTAGTCGCACGGTCATTCAGGGATTAGACCCATTGCAGTTGAGACGTATTTGGTCTAATCATTCGGGTTCGGTGTTGTTCCACTCATTGGAGTAGCTACTAGTGAGGTCTACCGGTAGTTTAGGATCAGATGCCAAACTCCAAACGCGATCCCGTTAGGGCGTGCGAGGAGGAGTAGAGTTTCCGGGTTTCCTTCGGGTGATTCCAGGTTGCATGGATTCTACTACGTTACACGGGGTAGGGCTAGACAGGAGGGTCCTATCTTCGCTATCACAGACTATGGGGTGTCTTGTGGTTAATGGCGACAACGTTCGACTATCCATGTATTGATTGCGGGAGTCGTATGGTGGGTATATGGGAGTGACCGGGTGACCGTTATATTATTATGGGTTTACCAGGTCCTTCCTTGAGCCGAGGATTTTCCGGCTATTTATTGATGATAGTCTAGTGAGCTGTTATTATGGAGCCGAGGTTATTCCGGCTGCTCACTTTGACATATGTATATGGGTATATGTGCATGAGTTGTCGATTTTGACATTATTGTTACATTATTTCAGTATGGGCATGGCATGGCATTTATTTTGCAAATGACGGAAATTAAACTCTATTTTCGAGCATGACATGGCATATTTTATGTTAGTTCTTAAAATGGATTTAATTCTAGACTGCTTTTAAGAAAAATATTTGATTCAGGTACGCATGGCACCTCCGGGACAGGGGACGTCTCGGGAGATAGAAAGACGGGCTGAATGAGTGAACTGCATCTGATGTATTATATGTAAATTCTAACTAGAAAAACCTCCCGTTTTGGGAGTATGTTTTTGTAAATATTTATAAACTATTTTTTTTTTGGGAATAATAAAATGCTTATATAATTAATTTTAGCCTTAACACTGTGTTGTGGGGCCCGAAGTAGGAGGTGACGACCTCATGATGCAGTGTGGCGGTAGCATTTCCAGTATGAGCCAACTGGGGGTGTTACAATAAACCTTATTTTATATTTATTTTATTTATTTATAAATATATATTATATTTATTTATTTATTTATGTATGATATACATATTAAATATATATATTTTAAAAATTTAATTTTAAAATAAATAAATTTGATATAAAAATAAAAAAAATGTATGTGGTAAAAAATGAGTATCACATCGGCATTGTAGAAACGCTTGTATGTATTTCTTGAACACAGATGGTCTAAAACAATGTCAAAACTCATGCTAACAGAAGAGTAGTTGGAAAGCAACATCATAATTTTACATGGAAATTTACATCAACTTCCTTCCTTCCCTCTCTCTCAACTTAACATTTAGTACACAAATGGCAGTGGCAATCAAATTAATCCTGTGGGAAAAAAATGTGCCAAAACTGGATAAGTTTGGATATTTTTGCTCATGTTTACCTTTCTTTTGGTTTAAATTATCAATTTTGAATTGAGAAGGAAGATTTGATTGATGTTCTTGTTTGATTAATTATGGATTTGATTGGATGCAATAGGAGACTCTGTAATCTAAAATTATTTACAAGCCCTGTAAGAAAGAGTGTATTTTCCTAGGCATTTTTTTTAATCTTTCTTACTTTATGAACTCTTTATTTTCAATATATATATATATATCATAAAATATCATATAAAATTGTATTTAAATACAAATTTTAAAATTAAATCTTGTCAAGCATAGCCCAAAAAGACAAACCCTCGTTTTCTTTGTTGTGCATTTGAGTTTTAGTAATTAATAATAGAAAAACTGACAAAAATAAGTACGGACTGAAAATTCAATTCAAACCCAATACGAAAAAAATCGTGTTTGGGCCTATAAAACAGACCTGAAAAACTTCGGGGCATATTTGGGTCGGCAGGAGAATGAACTAGGCATGCCCGGCCCGACTCTAATTTAAGATTAAATATAACTTTAAAAAATAAATTTATAAATATATTAATAAATGATTTTACTTTAAAAATTAAGTGCACTTAATGAATTATGTAGTGTAGATAATGGATTCAATTGTCAAACTTAACATATAAAATTTTATTAAATTATTTTATAATTAAAAAAAATAAAACTAAAACCGGACCGTGCCTAGCAGCTCCAAAATATTCTCGGGTCAGGCTGGCAGGCACGAAAAAACGGAGCCGGCCCAATTTGCCACCCCTAATTAACAACACCATAAAACAGGTACCAAACCAAATAGGAAAGAAAAAGAGTCAAAGCCAGGATCTAAGCTAACAAACAAGCACATACCCACACTAACCAATTGATTTGATCATCCACTATAAGTTTCTTCTGCATCAAGAATTCCAACCTAGAAAGGCCAATCAGATCAAATCACCAGGCGAAAAAGAGAGAAATGGAAACAATGCCTGCAAGACACATTAGGGAAACACAAAGTCAGGAAAAGAAGACATCCATTGTGGACTAGCCTGTTCTTCCACACAGCACAAGATTTTTTTTCGAATGGTTACGCTCTACAGGATCACTGATTAAAGATAGATTAGAAATACATACCACACAAACATACAACTGTAGCATTTAGCAATGGATCATACAGCTTTGCCTAATGGAAACTCTCTCAATCTGAATTATACCTTCATATGACCAAAGTACTTGCTGCTAGCTATTTTTCACATAATTCAGCCATCAGGTGACGCGGGGATGATTCCCAAATTGGTAAGTCGCAGAACTGTTGTTTCAATCTGTCCTCTTGGGAGTTCAACAGTGCTTCAGCTACATCACATAAATCTGAAAATCTTTTGATTAATGCCTCCTGAACTTGAACCTACACATAAGAATTGAATAAATTCATCAACCTCTCTCTAATTTTTGGGGGCAAAAGCTTCAAGCAACGAGGAAAGTAATTCCAAAGTAAAATAGTATTCGCAATTACGTTTGAGTTCCTGTGTGTACTGAACATTACCCGGGAGAGAAGATTATCAACTACTCGATGTCTTGCGGAATCTGACGTGCACCGTTGTTCTGAGCTCAATACCTCATCAGACGATGTAGTGGTTTCCAGATCCTGACACTTGAGTGAACACGTCATGGCTTCCTGCTGCGTTTCCTTCAACTTTTTTGATAAAAGTTCCCAGCGGCTTATCTCTTGTAAATACTTGCTCCTTAGCTTCGCGAGAGCTCTCTTCTTCCGTTGACGACGGTACCTCCTTCCTGCCGTTGGATCCAGTGGGTGATAAGCAACGGCGAGGTCGAGGCGCGGCCGCTTTTTGCGCTTGTGCACGAATCCATCGTCGTTTATCAGCTCCCACCCGTCGGCGTCTTGGCAATCGGCCTTGAGGAGAAACATACTTGAAAATATTTAGAGATGTTTGGGCGGGAAACGTAAAAGTGTATTTATTCCAATTGTCATTTTGGGACTTTGCTGTTGAACCCTTCATTAGAATTAAAATATCACAATCGCCCCTTTTGTATAATTCATGTAACATTTGCAATTAAGGGTGTGTTTGTTTGGGGGATTTAATAAGATTTCTACTATTCATCCAATTTTTTCCCCCCCAAAAACATCAAATCAAACACCTATTTTTCATTTTTTATATTATATTAAAAATCAATTTTACATTCAAAACATCACATCAACACCTATTTATATCACATCATACAACTATTCAAATTCAAAATTTTTACTATTCAAATCCCAACTCAAAATCCAAACCCCCAAACAAACACACCCTTAGTCAAATGGTCATGGCTGGCTATGTTTAGTATATAGTACTCTTCCTTTTGTCAAATATAAGAAGCAAATATTGGAATTTCCGTAGAAAAAAATAAAAATTAAGTGATTAGATAAGATAAGATAAAAAAAAGGTATATTTATTTTTATTATTTGAGTAATTTGATGAGTTCAAATGTTTAGTTATATTTTATTTTAAAAATATTGTAATATATATGAGACCTATCAAAATAGAAAATATTGAAAAATATGTACGTAAGAGGGAAAGAATATATGAATATTTGGTAGATTTTATCATTGTTGTAATATCATTAGTTAATTCTTTCATTTTAATTTCAATAGATAAATAAATAAATAATTTTAAAATTGAAAGTGAATATATTAATATATAATACTAATTAAAACAAATAAAGATTCAATTTGATGGATATCTTGTTAGATAATCTCTTAATTATTTAATTGATAAAATTTAATTTTAGAAAATTATATTCAAAATTTACGGAACCTATTAATCGACAAGTGAAAATGTCATAGACCGGTGAACCAAATTAATTAATTTTGATTAAGTATACAATTTTCTTTTTTTTTTGGTTGTCATCTAAATTTATTTTACTTTTTTAATAAAAAGATATCATTTTTCTACTTTATTTTTTTTACCCTAAATAAAATAATTTTATTTTTATCCACCTTTCTTAAAACACGTGTCCGATCAAATGTGCATATATTTTGATGACCGAGGTATGTATTTTGGATATGTGACTTGGTTAATATTAACTATTTTTCTAGACAAATTAAATTGTGAATCTCAAAGTTAAACTCAGGTGGATGACTAAGTCGCAGGATTCTCTAAATAAAATTCTATCCGACGGATGTATCCATTACAATGTCAAACAAAAGGTTTGAAATTAATGTATATTACGACTGTCTGAATCAGAATGTTTGATATTAACATAAATTACAATACCAATTACATTGATAATTAAAGCCATAACTATAATAATAATTAATCACATGTCATTTTGATCGAGTGGAGCCGCTTAGAGCACATAAAACGATTCGTCGATAGAAGCTCTTCCCTACCATCCCAAAGCACTTCCTTTCCCTCCTCGAAAAATGTCATCCACACAAATTTAATTTTCGACCGTAGAATTTCGATTAGAAATCGAGTGAGTCCTCGTGCAGGCGAGACCACCATCGACGGCATCACTTCTCTCTCCTTTGCCTCTCTCTCCCCGCTCGCTGGCTCTGGTGTTCTCTTCTTCCCCAAATCCATTCTCATTCCCATCTCTGACGACCACTCTTTTTTCTTTTCTTGTCATTTCACCGCAACGTCCCTCTGCCCGACCGCTGCTCTCTGTTTTTCCAACAACCCAAATACACATCTCCCTCCACCTCTCTCCCTAATTTTCTAGTTTTCAACTGTTTAATTTCCGGAGAAAAACAATAAATGTACTGAGGAAATGGTTTTCTTTAATGGCGATAGAGGTATGGTAAACTTTGCACACACTTCTCCCTACTTCCGATGCCAGAAATCGCCGGTTTGATTGGGGATGAAGGGTTTGGTGAAGATTGATAGTGAATATTGTGTGTGAGGAGGAATACTTAATTTTTCAAGAAAGAATTTTGAAGCGAGGAAAGGAAGAGCTACTGTGTTGTTTTCTGAATTAAAATCGTTAGATATAAAATTAGGGTTTGACACGTCGGACACACGTAAGAAATAGAGGTTTTTAATCTCATCTACTTCTGTATGTGCTATTATATAAAGGATTTCCCCCTTTATTCTCAAAATACACTAAACAACAAGTTCTTTTATCTTCTTTAATATCATCGTCTTCTTCCCAAAAGTAAAGCTCAATTCCATCCTCATTCTTGTTTGCCGGAGTTTTGACTTATTGAGGTACCAACTAAGCTGGAGACAAAAATTATTTTATCTTTGAGGATAAAACATCATCACCGGAGGCACTGTTGAAACGTAATTTGTCTTGTGGATAGAGACTATCGTAAACTCGGCTTCGTTCTAACTTGCATTATTCTATGCAATATTTGATTTTATTGTATTAATTAATAATGTTTAATTATTATCCCACATAATAATAATATTATTATTATTATTTTTCAACATATTCAACCATTTCTAATAATTTTTTCTAATCTCATATAATCGTTATATTGTCATAGAGTCGGCATCAGTTCACCTCTGCAGACACCCAGCCACGACTGTTCGAAGACAAAGATTTACATTATATACTTGGAATAAAATATGCAATATAACTGAAATAATTTAATGTTAAAATAATATTTTAATTTATTATGAACAAAATCAATTAAAATATATATAGAAGTTATACATATATTTGAATGTGTTTAGAACTTGATTGATTATGAAAATAAAATTATTATTCATATACATATAACAATTACAATAAAATCAATCCCCCATAACTTAATTACAATATTGTAACTCTTTATGATAAAAAAATAATAAAAATAACATATAATTTAATATAAATTATAATCAATTGCTAATAAGAATTTAAATTACACTTAAATATATAATAAAATAGCTAAACACCTGAAAACAAATCACTATGTGAAAAAATTAAATACAAAATGAAAAAGAATAACCATAATTAAATATAAAACGAAAAAGAATAACCATAAATAAATTCACGTCCAAAAATAACCTCATAAAAAGAAAACATTAGGCAATGAAAATAAATCAACAAACCTAAACAAAATTTAGAAATAAAAGCGAGCGAATCATCCTACAAACAATTTAGAAAACAACCACTACAAAGAAAAAATCATTTTTGTAACAAAACTTTTTTGTCTCTAAATCTACTTTTTCCGTTACTAATGACATTAGAGACGGAATTAGTAATGGAATTACGTTAGCTACGTTAACTTTAGGGACGGAATTCCGTTACAAATATATTATTTTTTTGTAGTGAACTTTATACAAAAATTCAAAAAAATATAATTAATAAAAATTTTGTCTTCTATCATATAAAAAACATGGCTAAAAAATTATACAAAAATTCAAAAAAATATAATTAATAAAAATAAATATGAATCAAAACTTACTTACTGACTTCTGCTTGGCAAGCTTTTCCAATAGAAAAATTTTGTCTAATCAAATAACAGGAAAATTATAAGAACTTTGAGAAAAAAAGTAAAAATTAAATTAAAAAAAAAAAGAACACACCGTGTAAAATTTATTGAAAAACTTAAATTTATTCAAAAACTTACTTCAAGAAAACGGAGAGCAATGACAAATTTATTCAAAAGCTCAAATTCATTCAAAAATTTACTTTAAAAACTTACTTCAAAGAAGATGGAATTTTGCGGCTGGAGACCTTAGAAAAACTTTGTCATTCTACCATTAAAATAACAGGACTAAAAAATTATATAAAATTTTAAAAAAATATAATTAATAAAAATGAATATAATGAAATAACAGAAAAATATAAGAATTTGACAAAGAAGTAAAAATTAAATTAAAAAACAGAACAGTGCTAAAAATATTATACAATAATTCAAAAAATAATAATTAATAAAAATAAATATGAATCAAATAATAGGAAAATATAAGAATTTGAGAAAGAAATAAAAATTAAATTTAAAAAAAAAAAACACCTTGTAAAATTTAGTGAAAAATTTAAATTTATTCAAAAACTTATTTTAAGAAAACGGGTTTAGGATTTATTTGTGATTGAATATGAAGATAAGTCTAAATTTATTGAAAAACTTAAATTATACAAAAATTTGGATAATTCATCAATGAAAATTTATTGAAGAAATTAAATTATTCAAAAATTTATTAGATAATTCATCAATGAAAATTTATTCAAAAATTCAAATTCATTCAAAAATTTACTTAAAAAACTTTCTTCAAGAAGACGGACTTTTGCTCATGCTCCTGTTCCGGTGGCAATCTTTTCCGTGTAAAATTTACCTGAAGAATCTTCTTCTCCTGGTGAGAATCTTTTCTAAAAATAAAGCAGAGCAAAAAATATATACAGCAAAAAATATATACAAAAATTCAAAAAATATAATTAATAAAAATGAATATAAGAACTCGAGTAAAAAGTGAAAGAAGCCATAATTTAAATTTTAGAAAAAGAATAACATTATGTAAAAACTTGCCTGAAGATATTCTTCTCCCGGTGGTAATTTTTTTATAATAGAGATAAAATTTCAGATATAACTTCACTATAAAAACTTATAAAAACTACTCTTTGAAAAACTCATCCACTTAAAAATAAACTTCCAAACTGTATCTCATGTAAAAAACTGTAAAAGAAAAAATCAAATTAAAAAACAAAAAAAAATCTCAAAATTCCGAGATTGCAGCATTTGAGAAATATTGTAAAAAGTGAATCTGCATTGTGCTGTTTTATATATATATATATATATATATGATATGTTTGCAACTGCAACAAAAATTGTATCTATCACAGGTGACGGTTGTTGCGACATCCATGAAATTAAGAAAGAACATATATCGCCCCCAATCACGCTAGATTGAATCATGATTGAAAGAGCACTTGATGTTCTTAAAAAAACTAATTGTAGTAGCCGATGCTTTTCGAGAATCATAAGAATCTAAGTTATTG